GCACATGTGTTTCTGGTTGAATGATAGAGTGATATGTTGCCTTTCACTTGCTCCGAAATACATTGTATGGCCTACCCCAAAAAACAGGTCGAATATTCTAGCTTACAACATTTTTTTTTCATGAATCTTTTTTTTTGCTACATCTTCTTAAACCTGTGTAACCTCTTCTGTCTCTGGGTCCTTTTCTCATAAATGTGACCTCATGYTGATTTGGTTCACTGGAGCAACCTTCTACTATATAAACCAGTAAGAAGTACAGTGAACAAGAAGTACAGAGTGTGATGGGATGCACCCATCCGCAGCACACAAGCAGAAATTAAATATGTCCAGAAGTTGGTCCCTGGAACACTAGAAGAGAAGTGGAAAAATGTTTTCCAGCTGCAAGAGGATCTGTTCTCCATACAGTGAAGTTACCAGTATCCACAGAGATTTCTATCCTCAAGTTAATTGTGCAGAACTGTTAAATCTTCCTTACCCTTCCTTGCCTGACTGCCCGAGTACCAAATCTATATTCTACGCCGGTTACCTTATTTCCCCTTCCAAAAACCTTCGTAATTTCATGCAGGCAAATAATCTTGGGCAGAAAACTTCAAAAAGAAAAACAGAGAAGTCTCGCTCTGAGCCTTCAGAGCAGAAAGTACTACAGAGCATGAACTTCAAAGCAAAAAGTCAGCTGTGGGGAAGATTTCCCTCCTGCTGCTTTTGTCTGCTCTCACACATCTTCCATTCCTGTCTGCGTAGTGGCACAGTTTCACGGTCAGGGGTGGAAAGTGAGTCCCACACGTCTTCAAACCTGGTGGTGAGCAAAATCTTCTGGGATTCATATCCTATGGCTGCCAATTTAAACACTTCTTGGCGGAGAGAACTTAATAACTTCTCTCCTTTCTCCTAGGTAAATTATCTCACCCTATATCTTTTACATGAAAGGTAACTGGCATTCTCCTGTGTTTTTTCCACTCTGTTTTGTGCTGAATTCAGTGCTGCTTGTGGTTGTGGGCTCAGGTCATGAGTATCAGATTGGGCCCTGAAAATCTGAGATGCAACTTCCCTAACCATGTATCACTTGTTATGAGTTTGAACTGGAACCTAACAACTGCATCATTATCAACTAACTAGTTTCAGCTTGAAACTATTGCATACTGACGTTCTAGATCTCTAACTACTTGTTTCCTATAATTCTTTTAAAATTGGTTTAGTTTTATTTGATAATTTTAGGATATTTAAATTCAGCTCTGTCCTACTGCAACTGTAAATAAGTGTCCTTTTTTTCCTTTCCCTATCTTCTAGAGTTGGTTTATTTTGAAGATATTTACCACATCTAAAAATTATGAGAGGACATAGTCTAATGTAACAGGCAGTGATGGTAATTGGTATTATGAAAAGATTTATTACCTGTTATTAGGTATTACTTAACCCTCTGCTTAGGACAAGGGAATAATTTTGATTCATGGAACCTGTGACTACCATCTATTTAAAAAGTGTCACAAATTGTATGTTGTGGGCAGGGGACTGTAAAGGTAATCTAGGAGAAGAGATATCCTCACAGAAATCTGGTAATTCTGCAAGTTTTATAATTATGTAACCATGAACAACTAACAATATGGTAAGAAAATACACAAAACAAACTTCTTAAATAATATCTTGTGTCTTGGATAAATCAGAATGAGCAAGAATGGAGTATGGACAAAGTGATTTGAGAAGACTTGAATTTATCCCAAGCTCTGACTCTGAGTTTTTGCAAAAGTGAGATATCTGAATCCTCATTCCAATATATATGAGGAAGTGTTTTTTATTGCTTTGCTTAGTTTGAAAATGTAGAAAAGCTGATGAAAACCATGCAAGTAAACAAATAGGAATTCTTCTATGATTAATAGCTGGAGAGCTATAGGAAAGCACAAACTTCCAGGGACTTTCCTGAATTGTTGGGAGGTTTTGCTGCTGTTTCCAACTCTCAGAGTGAGGGAGTTTCCTCAAAAAGGGCCAGAGGTTGAGTTGTTTATTATTGTTTATTAATCAAGCTGTGCAGCTGAACCCAGCAGTGTAGTAACACAGCAATACAAAACCACCCTGCTGTCTATATTGATTTGCTCTGGAACTTCTTGTATAGTTCTTTATACAGGATTCATAGTAATAGTACTAGTTTGGTAAGGCATATTGCTAAGTAAACTTTAGACTCCTCTCAAAGACTTTAAAGCAACAAAAATCCTCTAGACATTGCTGTTAAAGGGCAAYGTTAAAGAGCTGGCACCTCCTTAACCAGTTCTTTACTTCATCTCCTTTGTCTGAGATGATGTCTGGGAAACTGAGCAACCGGTTGCCAGTAACTACAATATTACTGCAAGCCTTTTAAATTAAAAGTTGTTGTCATCCGTTTACTCATCCTTACTAAGAATGTTCTAATGAAATGCACTGGTAGCTAACAGATTGGATCGCTTTAGTACTTGTTTTTAACAAGCGTTCTGTTTTAGATAAAAGATATACAATGTTAAAATATACTTTAGTTTTCAGAGAATAAATGTTCTTAAATAGTGATATTTTTAATAATTCTGGGAACATTTTATAGCATCAGTAATCTTAAAACAAACATGAGTGCTGAAAACAGGATTTAAATGCAAGACTAGCTTTTTAATGGTTGCGAAGCAAGAATTTCCATAAATCAGAGGGACGGTATCTAAAAYCATGTCTTCCTGGTTTGATATACTGTGTGGGTGGTTTCATAAATCAACTACAGTTAAAATGGCAATCCAAAGTAGAATGCTGTGGTAATTTGATTTTGCTAAATGATAATCACAGTAATACATTGTGATAAATGGTTAATATAATCAGTTCTAAAGGCCAATTTCAATTTCAGCAGGTTTTTTTTTCCCCCTGTCGTGGATATCGTTTACTTCCCTGTTCACCACAATAGCACCTGTTCAAGGCTAAGCAAACCTTAATGTATTATATTAATGTATATAAATATATAAAAATATATATAATATATATCATATATATACAAGTTGTCCCATATTTGTTCTCTGTGTTCCTTGTGTGGTAACACCATAAATGATGGTATGTTCCACAGCCTGCGAAAGATTTTTATAGAAACTTTTATAGAGGGTTTGGTGTCTGTGGACAAGGGTGATACCAATTGATCTTGAGGTCTGCTGAGTTACTTTTTGGAGGGACTCAGCTGTGGAGCATCTGTGGTTCTGTGACTGGGAAGATGACCTACATCCTACTGCATTTATGTAAGAGAAGACCTGATTTTCTTTAACTGAGATCTCTTTAAACAAGATCTTGAGTGCTGCTGACATTTAGGCAATGCAGATGATTGGTGAGCTAGGATCCTGGAGTGAAATGCATCCCATGCTGATGCTTGTGTGCACCCTCATGAGTGTAAGCTCTTGTAGTAACTTGTTATTGGATCTGCATGATAAATACACACATCTTTCTGGTTCTGTCACTGGGTTATTTTTCCCAGTTTGTAGTTAAAGAAGACTTTCCAGTCTCATCTTTGATTTTTATGAAGGCATTGGGTGGGAAATGGAGATGGCTGAAATGACCTGAAATGCAAATGCCTTATTCCTGAATATACTGAATAGTATGACAGAATGGTTGTACATTGACAGAAGAGGACTGAAGTATAGATGAAATCTTTCCTGCAAGATGTGTAATTTGCTTGTACTTATGCTAAAATTGACTTTAGTAATGTGACTTGATTATRTATGGTGCATCTTACTGTCCCCAGCTTTAAGGAGTTTTTCCTGAAGTTACCTTCTTTTCAGGAGTCATAGAAGTTATTACAAGTGTAACAGAATTTGGATGTACAACTTCTTATAGCAATATAGTCTCAGGTACTAGAATGTATCTTTTGGAATAAAGATCAGAACCCAAAAAAAAAAAAAAAAAA